TAAATAAAATTGAATTGAATTTAAAAAGTTGTGGTAATCGGTGACCTGTATATTCTGTTAAACACAGATATTAGAATAGTCAAATATAACTACTCCATGCTCAGTGGATAAAACCTTTTGGAGAACTTAAAAATATTAATGAATCAACAGATTCAGAAAAAACAGGGGAGCAAACAAGAGCGTCAGGGTATCAGCATTTAACTTCCTGAAACAGCCTTTCATCGGAGCTGTGCAACCAATCAGGCTGTCCTTCATGACCCCCTAACCCTAACCCTACTTCCTGTATGTTAAACTCTTAATGTTGTTGTGAGGTTGGTATCAGCTCCCACAGCTGTGCGGTCAGCTTGAGGGACAGCAGAGGACTCCCGGAAGCTTTTTCCACTATTTTAACGTCTCCTTGATTTAATGAACCATGGTCTTGATTAAGAGCCGTTTAATAGGCCTGACTATTTCAGGAGCCAGGATAATGAGTGAAATCAGGTGGCATCCGGCTGGAACAAAAGCTCCACAGACAGAACTGCTCTCCTTGTTGAAAATATGTGGCTGGAAACCTGTAGACGTCTTAACTACTGTAACACTTACCAACCATTACATTATGGATGTTCAGGGGATCAGCAGCCCCTTAAACCCTGAACATTTATTATTCACCATTTACTTTTTCTTAAGAGTCTCAGTGGTTGTTAAAATCTCTCTCACTGTCTGATGGTATCAGGGCATTCTAACTGTTCAGTATACGATATATGAGACTACTGTCTTATCAGGTGGTGAAGTTGGAGACACAGAGTCGAGTCGTTCGGAGGGACTGAGATTTCTACTAGCTAAGGTGTTGATGGTCTGTCTGCCTGGAAGGAGAACGAAAGCAGACTGTACTGGGTGAAAAGGTTCATTTAAGGGCCTTACGGACTAATTTACTTACATTTAGATAGAAGTGCTGCTTTGAAGCATCGTCCTGCATATTCTGTGAAGTCGTGCACAGCTGTTCTGTGCTAGTGACTTCTTTGGGCATAAAGGAGGACTGTTTTT